TCCGAGGCGAATGAATTACTCCCCGGCGCTGAGCCTGAGGGGAGGTTTTGTAGAGCCGGACGCTTAGGGTCCGAGGCGAATGAATTACTCCCCAGCGCTGAGCCTGAGGGGAGGTTTTGCCGAGCTGGACGCTTAGGGTCCGAGGCGAATAAATTACTCCTCGGCGCTGAGCCTGAGAGGGTTTGCATATATCTCTCTCAAACAACTTATCATGAGGCCGAGGATTCAAAAATGATAAGAGGCCAAGAAAACGAGTAGCAGTGGCTGTGAAGTTTCTTATTTGTTGACTTTGGAGACTTTCCTCCATTGATACTCCCTTCTTGGCAACCAAATGTAGTGGGCTACGCATATATTAACCGTATTTATTTTCTATTTCTATCCGATGTGGGACATAGACTAAATTTTGTCAAAAAGGTCGGTGTAAGGAATGCCTCTGGTATTGAGCTTGACAGCCTTTAATACCAGTGGGCCCTCCTTACACCGCAGTCAACTATTTGAATATTCCCATATATAAAAGAATGTAACACATACTTTTTTGTCGATGTGGGATAGAGAGTTTTAACCATAGGCCACAACTCATTTTTTTTTTAAAAAAAAAAAAAAATCATTGTGACGAATGCTTTTTAACAGCTTGCTTCTAACATTGCTTTGCATAAAAATTGTATAGTGCGACTTGGCATGCATAAAAGTTGCATAATCATAGAGTAGTATGGCCCCCATTTTTATGGAAAGAAATAAATAGAGTAGAATTGTACTGAATATAATAGAAGCAAAATAAAGCAAAGTTTGGCTGACTGTGGGCATACTCAGCCTTATTTGTGAAGAATTTGTAGTAAAATTGAAAAACTTATCTAATGGTAATACCTTTTAAGGTGTATTGCATTCCAAGGACGCGCAATGGGACGTCCGTCAACTTTGGCCAAACGATATGCTCCTTTCCCCACTACTTCAGTAACCATGTAAGGTTCGGTCCAATTAGGTTCCAGTTTCTTTACATGAGCTGTCTCTTACTTCAAAACCCAATCACCTACCACAAAACTCCTGAATCTGACATGTTTGTTATAACTGTTGCGCAGCTGTTACTGATATGAAGCAAGCCTAATTGCTGCCGCATCCCTTTTTTCGTCTAGGAGATCGAGGCTATGTTTGAGCTGCTGACTATTGTTTCCTTCAAGCAATAAGAATGTCCGAAGGGTTGGAACTGTTGCTTCAGTTGGGATCACAGCTTCAGATCCATAAGCCATGGCAAAGGGACTCTCTCCCGTAGGCCGCGGTGGTGTGGTTCGGTACGCCCAAAGCACTTAAGGGAGATTCTTGTACCATTTTGTTTTGAATTTCTCCAATTTCTTCTTTAAACAACTGAAAATTGTCCGATTAGTTATTTAAGCCTGTCCATTCCCTTGTGGATGACTAACCGTAGCTAACTTTTGTACAATTCCATGCTCAGCAAAGAATTGTCCATCATAATGACTTTTGGGACCCCAAACCGGCAAATGATGTTGTTCCAAAGGAAACTTTTTACCTACTCATGGGTCACACTTGAATAGGCCTCGGCTTCTACCTATTTAATGAAATAATCTGTAGCCAGTAGCACGTACTCCTTTTTTTCCACGGTTTTGGGTAACGGGCCCACCATATCAATCCCCCATTATGCGAATGGCCATGGATTTGCCATTGCGTGTAAATCTTCGGCAGGTTGATGCTTCATGGGACCGTGACGTTGACATTTGTCATACCTCCGTGTGTACTCTTCTGCATTCCTGGACAAGTACAGCCAGAAGTAACCTTGAGTCAGGACTTTATGCGCGAGGGATCTGCCCCCAGAATGGTTACCACAATCTTCGTCATGGATTTGTCTCAACACCACAAGAGCCTCAGTAGGGCTTAAACATTTCAGGTAAGGACCTAAAAATGACTTTCGGTATAACTGATTGTTAATGATGGCATATTTAGCTGCGGCGATACGGAGCTTCCGTGCTTCGGACTTCTGGTCTGGAAGAACCCCATGCTTGAGGTAAACTTCCAATGGATTAATCCAGCATGGTTTTCGAGGAATAATTGGAACTACCATTACTTCCTGCGGAGGATTAATGCTGGGCTCGTCTAGAACGTCAATCGGCACAATCCGAATCAGATCCTCATTTGAAGATGACGCTGATGTGGCCAATTGATCTGCTTCGGCATTCTCAATACGAGGTACCTGATAGAATTCAATCTGATCGAATCCCCGTGCAACGTTCTCTACAGCTTTTTTATATGCTTTCATTCTTTCCTCTTTGAGATGGTACTGACCTGTCGCTTGATTTATAACAAGTTGTGAGTCACTAAAAACCTTTAAGCAATGTACCTGGAGACTGCTAGCTAACCGAAGACCAGCAAGTAATGCCTCGTACTCGGCCTCATTGTTCGTAGCTGGGAATTCAAACAGATAAATTACTGCAGCTTGGTGCCTTCAGGAGTTAACATTACAACGCCCACTCCTGCACGTGCTTGATTCGATGAACCATCAACTCGAAGTTCCCATTGTGGTTCAGGGTGTGCCGGCTCTTCGGGAGTATCTTCATACTCGAGAAGGAAGTCCGCTACGGCCTATCCTTTATGCGACACCTTTGGCTCATAAGTTATGTTGAAGGAACTAAGCTCGATAGCCCACTTGGTAATTCTCCCAGATAAATCAGGCTTAGAGAGTATACCCCGTATAGGATAGTTGGTGAGTACCACAATGCTATGAGATTCAAAATAATGCCGAAGCTTCCTCTTGGCGTAGATCAAAGCTAAGATGACTTTTTCTGTTTTACTATATTGCGTCTCCGCATCTATCATGGTCTTACTTGTGTAGAAGACTGGATATTGCCTCTTTCCTTCCTTTCTAATCAATGCTGCACTTGTCGATGTATTAGAAATTGCCAAGTACATAATAAGAACCTCCTCGAGTTTTGGAGCGGATAGAATTGGTGGTTCAGCCATGTAACCTTTCAAACGACTGAGGGCCTCCTGCTGCTGAGGTCCCCATATATCTTTATTCTTGGATCGTATAGCATCGAAGAATGGTTTGCACTTATCTGACAATCGGGATATAAACCGGCTGAGTGCTGCGATCCGACCAGTAAGAACTTGCACCTCCTTGCGATTTTTTGGTTCTTGATTCTGGATGAGGGCCTTAGCCTGAGCCGGACTTACCTCTATCCCTATTTTATTCACTATGTGGCCGAGGAATTGACCTGATGATACCGCGAATGAGCACTTAGATGGATTCAACTTCATGTTGTACTTCTTCAAAGTATTGAAAACTTCCTATAGATGCTTCGGATGATCTTCTTTCTTCACACTTTTAACCACCATGTCATCTATATATGCTTCAACTGTCCTTCCCAGCAGGTTATTGAATATCTTGTTGACAAGGCATTGATAAGTAGCTCCAACATTCTTCAGTCCGAAGGGCATGACCCTGTAACAATAAGTCCCATTTTCTGTAATAAAAGCCGTTTTTTCTTCATCTTCGGGGTTCATAGGAATGTGATTGTATCCCGAGTATGCATCTAGGAATGTCAACCTCTCGTAGCCGGTGGTAACATCAACCATCTGGTCTATCTTGGGCAGAGGGTAGCTAATAGGGCATGCTTTGTTGAGGTTGGTATAATCTACACAAACCCTCCATTTTCCATTCTTCTTTTGTACGACTACCACTTTCGACAACCACTGCGGATATTGCACTTCTCGAATGAAACCTGCTTACAATAATTTGCTCACTTCTTCAGCTATAATGTGATTGCGTTCAGGGGAAAACCTTCGATGTTTCTGCTTGACCGGTTTGAACCCCGGATCCACCTTCAGGCTATGGCAGGAAACTGTGGGATCGATCCCTACCATGTCTGAGTAACTCCACACAAAGGTATCTGCATTGCTCCGGATAACATCAATTAATGCCTCATTTTCTTCGGACGTGGAAGAAGAGCCTAGATAAGTAACCTTCTGAGGGTCGTCGAGGATAACTTCCACGGCTTCGAGGGTCTCCTCGGTGGGCTTCGCGATCTCCTCTTCCTTCTTTTCCTTAAGATACTTGGGCAGAGGGCTCTGTAATTGCTATTTGATTCCAGTTTTGGAAGCCACACCTGGTTGCTGTTGAGTCGACACCCTCTTCGCCTTAACTTGTGTCAGCATATAACATTCCTTCGTTGCGACTTTAACGCCCCACAGATCAATCACTTCTTTCCCGTCTGGAGATAAGCACCGCATCACCTGGTGGAGGGTGGATGGAACTCCTGTCATCCGATGTATCCAACCTCTTCCCATGATGAGATTGTAAGAAGGATGGATCTCTGTTAAAACAAAGTTCTCCTTCAGAGTCCTCTTCGCCGCGGATACGGACAAGTCTATTACTCCAAGGGGATTTACCCTTGTGCCATCGAATCTCATCAACGGGCTGGAGGTAGGTCGAACAGATGATGACGGGATCTCTAACTGGTCAAAAACCGTCTTTGTGATTATGTTAGCGCTACTTCCTGGATCTACCAAAACCCTCCTGATCATACAATTGGCCACTAAAAGACTAATGACCAATGGATCCTCGTGGGGGAGTTGCACTCTGGATAGGTCGTCTTCTCCGAATCCAATACCAATGCTACCTGAATTGATAGCATTGACCGAGGATATCTTCCTGAGTTTGTGGGTCACCCTTAATCTGGATCTGTACACCTCCTCGGACTCTTGATCATCTTCAGACCTGCCATGTATTGCACAGATGACTTTTACTTGCGTACCTTCTACCTTGCGGGGATAGACCTCGTGGGGCTTTGCATGCTCATTTGTCATGAGGTAATCCGTCAACTCACCTCTGGCGATCATATTATCCACCTGTCGCCTAAAGGATCGGCAATCGTTGGTTGAATGCCCATAATCTCGATGATGAGCGCAATGCTTGCTTTTGTCCCTTTGCTCCAGGGGTTGCTTTATTGGCTGTGGAGTTGTGAACTTCGTCTTATTCTCTTGGAAAAGCCGAGCTAAGGTAGTTCGGAGAGATGTAAATCCTTCCTCTGCCCTTTGCCTTTTTTCAGGTGCCTAGGTGACCGGCGTTGAGGAACGTTGGCTTTTTTGAATCTTTGGAGTTGGGATTCTTTCTCGAGGCTTGTTTCCACTGTCACGAGGGTAGCGTGCTGCACTCGGTGGGCTATATTTTCCTCAAGCCGAATGTAAATCTGGGCCCTAACATTTAGAGTCTGTATGTCGGGCAGAGAATACTTGACTAGGGAAGTGTGGAACTTCGTCCCCTGAATCATTGCGAGTTTACATGTCTCTATAGTAGTTGCGGGATGACAATCCGCTATTTCTGATGCCTCTATGTTGAATCTTGATAAGAAATCCTGCAATGTTTCCCCCCTTTTCTGCCTTACGGTGAAGAGACTGGCAATGCTTTTCTTTTGCTTTTTATTTCCGCAATACTGTGCCAGGAAAATGGTGCATAGAGTTACGTAATCCGGGATGGATTTATGCGGTCTACTCCTGAACCACTCTAGTGCTGCTCCTGTCAAACTGGTAGGAAAAACTCTGCACATCTAAGGGTCATTACGATCATCCAAAGCCATCTTTTGAGCATAATGATATAGGTGCCGAGAAGGATCCCCTGTTCCATCAAACTGGGTGAAAGAAGGCATGGTGAATTTCTTGGGCCTCTCTACCAGATACACATCGTCAGTGAAGGAGTTTTGATCAAAGAATTTTTGTGTTCTCTAGCCATCTCGGCAGGTGTTTGAATCTTCAGGAGTTTCTTCTCGTCAAAGGCATCCTGAACACCTGCACCATCTGGGATTCCATTGGACCACACCGTAAGCTTATGGCTGGATTCGACTTGCTCATCCTGCGTGCGACGAGGGACGTTATCTGAAGCAGCAACCTCGGATCTCGCCTTCCGTTGCTGCTGAACCTCATTCGGCTGAACCTTATTGGGTCGTGCCCCATTAGATGGAACCCCATCAGGCGGAAGTCCAGTAATCGGAGGAATATTCTGACTAGGGGGTGCTGCTGTGTCACCCACTGGTGGCGGTGGTGCCAACTGAGCCAGCGTTGTTTACAAAGCGTTATTCTACTGCTGAAGCAAGTCGATCTGAGCCACACTTGCTTCGTTTGCCTAACGAAGTACGTTAAATTGGTGCAGAAACTCTTCACGCATCTTTTACATCAACTCCGTCTGTTGATCTGCTGAAGATCCTCCGTTCGACATTCTGGACAATTAGCTGCAGGATTCACTTATGAAACAAAAATAAGAATGGGAATATATTTGCACACGATTCTCACAGACGGCGCCAAAGTGTAAGTGCAAAATTCTACTCAACCAATAACAATTAAGAAAAATTATACAACACACTCAAGAATAGTAAAAATAAATAAGAATAGTGTGTAGAGAAGCGTAGAATTGTTTGGATCCCTTTATTTGGAGGTCTGGGCCTTTATTTATATACAAAAGTTAGAAGAATTATGGTAGGACTCGCGTTACTTGTCCTCTAATTCTTTCCATATATCAATTTCTTTACAAATAGAATTCTTTCCTCTTTATAATTCTTCCCTTTTCGGATTTTCCTTACATAGAACTTACTTCATTTGATTAATCCTTTTCCTTGTAGGACCGGTTCCTTCTTTTAAATGGATTTGGACCGCATCTAACTTGGTACACATGACTGCTGGTATCTTGATTCGAGCTTTAGTAAAGCCCGTAGTTAGATAGTGGTAGTTTTGGGCTAATGACCAACTTAACTTGGGCTTCTGACGAGATGGGCTTTGACCTTTATTGAAGATAAAGTTATATTTACGATGACGTGGATTGCCCTTATTGGAGGAAGATTTTTCCCTCCACAAGCTCCCACTTAATTTCAGCATAGCCAAATAATCTCTAGAATTCATCAATTTTATTATTATTATTATTATTATTATTTATAGAATCTAATTATAGATGAATTTGTGCGATGGAAATTAAGGATTAATCTCATAGGATTAGTAGACTTTTGTTTCTTTCACCTGTTGGCCCACATTTTTGTTTCCTTTCACCTGGCCCACATAAGATTTTCAGCTTATACCTAGATAGAAGCTTGGATTTGTAATTAAAAAAAAAATAATTCGATACTTTCAAAGGCAACATATATGTAGTTGTGGTGATGGTTTTATTTTGAGAAATCACTTGGGCTATCCTATTTGGGTTGCTTCCATTTAGCAGACAAGAGGGAGCAAGCGAGTTAAGCACCGTTTGGTATCAGAGAAGATCAACGGCAACATGTATTATTTCTTCTAATATGAAAGGCGTGGAATTTATAGATATAAATGAACCCTAAGGTCATATTTGGTGTGAGTAAATGGAATCAAATGTAGAATGAAAGGCAAAAGAAAGGCTTTTCTGTACAACCAAACATGAGAAGAGAATGGTTCCATTCTCATTCCATTCTTACTTCATTTTATTCAACCACACCAAACATGACCTAAATGTTGAAAAATAATAAAACGCGTGAGAATGAATAATTGACCGAGATGCTAAATGTTAAAATTGGCCTAGTTAGAGAAAGAATCTACGATATGGGGCCTTAGCAAACAGAAATTGGGTCGTGTTGGGTGCGCACACACCGGCTCATTCAAATTTTACGCGCCGCAAACCTAATAGTCAATACCTTCTCCTAAGAAATCACCTAATTCGCCTAGTGGTATCACTTACTCTATATAACTCACTGATGCTAATTTTGATGTTGCATTAGTTAGGACGCATATTTTAATTAAAATCTAAAAAACCTTAATTAACCAATTTTTACATGCATATATATATATATATATATATATATATACACACAAACACTAGTAAAACAGTTACATTAGCACCTGAGTAAAATCTAATTTAAAATTAATATTAATTATTTTCTTAAATAGTAATTAAAATTAATTTCTTAAAATAATCACACTAATATATTAATTAAGATAAACAAATTATAAGATTTTTTATTTAAAAACTGATAATAGATAGGTAATTTGTGTTATAATTTTTTTGAAATAGTTTTAAAAACTCTTTTTATATTAATTAATAAATATTTTTTATATTAATAAAAAATTACTGAAACTCTTTACACTTTTAATAATATATATATATATATATATATATATATATATATAGATAATGGCAAATTACGTTTTAATAATCAAGAGGAGTTTTATAACTTTATTATTTTATTATTTATTTAATGATTAACTTATGTTTGTATTGTTTGAATTTTATTTGGCAACTTACGTTTTAATAATGGTGAGGAGTTGTATAATTTTTATTATTTATTTATTTATAATGGTGACTTACGTTTTAATAATCGTGAGGAGTTCTGAGTAGTTGTGATGCCTAATTAACTAGAGAGTATTATGCAACGATGTCTGATTTTTATTTTATCTATTTATTATTGTTATTTTTTTATATCAGGTTCCATTGTAGCTACTTTGGAGTTTATTAAGGCCTTCTAGTGAAAGTTATTTTCTTTCAATTTACCCTATAATTATTTGCAAGAAAAGTAAAGTTACGATACATTATTATTATTATTAGGGTAAAGTGCAAAAAAACCCCCTGAAGTATAAGCCAAAATGCAGTAAACCCCTCTGAACTAAAAAAAAAAGTACAACCAACCCCCTGAACTATTGTACTTCGTTGCAATTTACCCACTCCGGTGACCGGCAGAAAACTTTTGACAGTAATCAGGCGCGTGTAAGCCACTTTTTTTCTCAATGCCCATTTCACCCTTGTAATACAAAAATACAAAAAAACCCTTATTACCAAATCAATGACCCGAATTTGTACTTGTGTCTATATATATAATAATTTGATTTCTCTCTCTCGATCTGTCTTTGTCTCTCTCATCTCTGTCCCTCTCGATCATAATATCTATCTCTTTCTTTGTCATCTTTGTCCTTCTCTTTCTCTCACCTCTGTCCCCTTTGATCACGATCTTTGTCCCTCGATCATGATTTCGGCAAGATATATACGGATTACTGGTCTCGATCTACAATATCTTTCTTCTCTATCTCTATCATCTACCATCCACATATTGTAATACCCCTAATTTTGTAAATGATATAATTGGAATTTAATTTTTATTTCTTGTGCATTTTAATGAAATATGTGACTATGTGCTTATGTGGCTATGCGTTTCTATTTGCTTAATTGATTATTTGAACTACGTGATTTAATTGTGTGTTTTATTTTGTATGATAGTGTATAGTTGCTTGATTCGTTGTATGTAATTATTTGTTATGAATTGATGTGTTTGTTAAATATAATTTTATTTGCAAGTTTAAGCGTGTATTTTATTTTAATTTTTAATGTAGAAAGGAGTTAAATTTGGATATAGTAAGGAATCAAATAAATAGATTACATGGACTACTTGGATGGACTTACATGGGTAGGGTTATCACCCATCGGTAGTGGAGGTTATTATTATTATTTTTCTAATTAATAATGATAAGAAGGATTAAGTTGCGTCTATATATATATATATATATATAATCATATTATATTTTATAAATGGTTAAATATATATGTACCTACGTAATAGTATTATGATTTATATACATATATTTAATTTATATTAGATTTTCTTTTCTTTTCTCTTTTCCGTCTCCTTTTAAAATTGGAATTAGGGTTTTATAAACATATATATATACATATGATGGTTTGCACTAGGGTTGGAAAACCCTAATATCAGCAGAGAGAGAGACGGGAGTATACAAAGAATTTTAGGGAGAAACTAAGAGAAGGGGATTAAGGTTTTGGCCAAAGAATTAGGCTGGACCAAGAAGGAAGGTTGAGGGTTGGAACCAGAGTAGATGAGTCCTTGACGGCAGTCACGATCGCCGGAAAAACCTAGGAAGAAGATGGTTAAGGTTTCAATTCGAAACCTAGAGGCAAGTTCTATTTCTTTCTCTTTCTCCTTGACTTGTGTTCTGTGCATGCCTAGATGATCTCTAGGATTTTAATCGGATATTAAACAAATCTTGTATGCTTATTGAATCATATTAAATAAGAGTTACACTGAATATATGTTGTAAATTAAATCTGTTTCTTCTTACCAACGATTGTCTCTTATGTGTTCTATATTTATGTTAATAATGCAAATAGTATTTTTATGAGTTCTGGGATAATTTGAATATAGATTGAACTTCTAGGTACCCTAATAAAAAAATTATAGAGGTGATTATACATGCCGGAGACAGGGACAAAGGAGCAAAATAGGAGGAAACGGGTTACGGCTCTCTGTGAGAGAGAGAACCGGCTCCAGGGATTGAGGGAGCCAGCTCCCTAGACCACGGAGCCGGCTCCCAATGGTTGAGAGCAGGCTCTCAACTTATGAGAGCATGCTCTCATGCCAAACTTGCTACAGAACGTGGTTTGATGGTCTGTTTTGGGTTTTTGATGTTCCTGGACTATTTTTGGTGATTTGTAGGGACTTTAAATATTATATTATACTGTATTAGAACCCTCATTGCATAATTAAAGTCTTTATGCTAACGGATTTAACAGTACGGAAGTTTAAACAATCTTGCA